TTTTCCAAAAAAAGGGAAAAAAAAAAAATTTTTTTAAAAAAATTAAAAAAAATTTAAAAAAAAAAAAAAAAAAAAAAAAAAATCTGATACACCAAATAAATGTCAATATTTCAATACTTGATTGGAGCAATGATGTCAAGTTGGGCGCCAAGCTTCTCCTCAGCAACTTTCTCGGCTTTAACTCTCAGTTTTGTCAACTGCTTCTTTCTCTCGTATGCTGCCTGAGCTCTCTCTTTCCTCTTCTTCTCAAGTTCCTACAGCATACATAACAATTACGTTTAAAGATAGAATTTCACCGAAATATATACGAAACCCCAAGATAATGGTGGAAACTCAACAAAAGTATAAAACCACATAGAACATAGAAATAATATTAAGTGGATGATCCACATCCTTATTATTATTATTATTATTATTATTATTATTATATTTTATTATTATTATTATTATTATTTTTGATAAAGCACATCCACATAAATTCAACCCAAAAAAAAATATGAAGAAAAAAGTCTTGATCAGGTGGACGAATTGATTTTGTAGCAGATGCACAGAAGCAGCAAAGGTTAATGCCTGAGATGGGCACAGTTAGCAGAATCATCAAGACAGGATAGCAGTATACAAACTTAGGCAAATTACACTCACAATGAGATAAAGAACCATAAATGAAGTAACAAGAACTTCAAAAATATGAACCTCATTAAACATTTCACCGAGAAAACAAGAGTTGCAAAACAAAAGAGAAATGCATATTACTAATTGATATTAAATATTTAATATTCTGAGATGTAATGGAATTTTAGCATGAAATTTAAGTAGGCAAATGGCAAATACTAAACGAAAAATATAAGGCCCATATAGAAAGGCAACTAATTGTGACACCAGCAGACATAAAATATTATAAAAACTCACCCTTATAGTATCATAATGGTTCCATCCAACCTCTGATGAGAGTCTACCCAACAAACAGTACTTGTGTCCAGCTTGAAGCCGCAAAACCCTGATTAAGTAAAGTCAATGAGCTGAAAAGATTGGATGTGATACATTTAGAACCATAAACTGACATTCCACAAAACTCACTTGAGAGCATCAGGAATAACCATCCTCTTTGTCTTGTCATATGGAGGTGGGATACCCTCATAAACCTTCAACCGAGCGAGCGCGGCTGCTCCACGCTTAGTCTTGTGGGGGATCATCCTACAAATATAAATTGACAAATGACATGAGACAAGAGATTCTTTCTAGCAAACTTAAACTAAACTAGACTGTCCGATTACAAAGAAATCAAGCAACCTCACAATAGCCTGACAAGACTTTTTACAAAAAACCTCCTATAGCAGTTTGATGCTTGAAAAATATTATTACATATATCATAGCTAAAAATGCATTTAAAAAAAAAAAAAAAAAAAAAAAAAAAAAAATTTAAGTTCCTAAAAAAAGAAGAAGAAAAAATATTTAAGTTCCTGATTCACAAATATTAAGTGTTACCTATCAAGCATAGACCACAAATATTTCTATTTACACACAAATCTGTATTTGGTGACTGCAGATTATAACAACAAATGCTACTTACATCATGATGAGGTTGGCATGTCTTATAACCGACCAAGTTCACACATCTACAGTCTACAAATCTCTCTTTTTTTTTTTTTTTTTTATAAGTCAGTCTACAAATCTCTTTAAACCAAGAACTATGACTCCTAGATGTAAATCCTTCTCAAAATATTCAAATTTTTATAAGCAAAACAATAAATTCATTTCTATTTTCCAAATTAGAAATGCAATAAAGGAATAACATTCAGTCTACCAACATAAAAAATCACTAGTTACTAATATCCAATGGGCGTTTTATGACATCTAAGCACACAAATGTTTAAGAAAGATTATATTACATCTCAAAACAAAAGGTCAGCTATTACCACATCAACACACTATACACAAACTCCAAACGGGAAATCGGGCATTTTCAAGATCTAAATATTCTGAAAAAAGATCAATTACACTCTACAGGCGAAATCCTAAAATAGGTTTGCAATGTATAAATGTCATGTCAGCCTGTGTAGGCGTCTATAAGAAATCAAATGGGTATTGACTATAGACCAATCTGCATTGTTAACATATATACACAAAACTATACAATCTGCCGAGTAAAGTATCCGCGGCATTCAGGGGCGGACCCACATGGGGTCATGTGGGGTTAAATGACCCCACAAAATTTTGCCCCAGCATTTTTTTTAAAACCATTTACGATCTACTTTGATACACTCGTTACCAGATGCCAAATGAAGTCGAAATATTGCATTTTTAATATCATTTCGAAGTGCTCATGACCTAGTTTTTTACTCATTAATAGCGTGCGAAGTGGTCAACTATAACAAAAGTTATGGCGTGTCAAAGTAGGCCGTTCGAAACTAGTATTTTGAGAATTTCGATAATATCCTAACTTGTAAAATTTGTCGGCGATCATGTGCTATCCAAATTCACAAATTGTTGTCATGTAGAAGCTCGTTTCAAAAATTATATCGTTGTCATATCGAATGGTTCAAACGGATATCGAAAATAGTTAAATATGTGTCAAACATACATCTAAAAAAAGACGTCTAACTTGTCTTTTCTTTTAAAAAATTCAATTATTTCATTAATATTTATTATTTTTGCACGATAAATTTTTCAATATAATTTATATCATTTTATTAGAAAATTTTACATAGAATATGACATAAAAATTTTTAGGATTGTTACACATTAAATGTAATTTAAATTCTTTCGAATTACATTTTCTTGAAATATGAATTTCATTTACTTCATGGATTAAACTTAAAATTTATTTCAATTCATTTACAAAATGGTAAACAAAACTATACAAATAGCAAAGTTTATTTAATAATATTGATAATGATGTAATTATACGACGTTTTATAGTATCAAAATATGTATTAACTCATTTCCATTAATATTATGTTGTTTTTTTAAAAAAAAATATATATTTACATTTTTGACCCCACAATAAAAGTCTGGGTCCGCCCCTGGTGGCATTGCCAGAGGCATTTAACATTTCCCCCAAAAAAAAAATGCACTTTAAAAGAGAACAAGCCTATTTGACACTAAATAAACAAAAGCAATAAGAAATTTCAAAAACACCTCTACTTACAAACATCTAAACCATAAAAAGAGAAACAAATATAACAATTATGAAAATTTAATATACATGTTCATGACATGTCCAACGCGTGATTTAACACAACAGGGTATATATTATCCTACATAATTCATTATATAATAACAACCCCAGATGCAAGTTTCTCAATCGACCCAATTAACAAAAAACAAAAAAATCAACTGGCTTGTAGTTATACACACAAATTACCAAAAAAAAAAATGCAAAAAAGGAAGGTAAAAGGCATCATACCCACGGATGGTGCGCCAGAGGATCTTGGATGGAGCACGGAAATGGATGGGACCATGGGACGGCTTGGTGTTCATGCGCTTACGAAGAAACCGCAAGTACTTCATCTTCTGGCGAACGAGGCCACCTGACAAGCAGATTTCCTCGCATCTGACCACCACCACTTTCTGGCCATTCAAGAGCTCCTTGGCTAAGATGGAGGCAAGGCGGCCCAGCATGTGGTGCCTCGCATCCACCACCACTCTCTTCGCGCAGATTCCCGAGCCCGACACCATTGTTCCTCTCACTACAGCTCCCTTTCTCTCTGGGACCACTGTGGATCGATGACGAATTTAAGAGTTAGGGTTTTTAATTTTTAAATTGGGTTCTCGTATTTATGCAGCGTTAAGGTCCAAACCTTTTAACCTTAAGAAAAATAACAAACAGGACTGACTAGAAGCAAATATCGAGAGCTTGTTAGGTTTAGATTTTAAGCCAATTAAAATTAATTTTGTAATCATTATTTTATTATTTTAATCGTCATTTTTGAATTCTTTTCTTATAAGATAAAAAAATTAATTATCAAAATCCATATCAAATAAGCACTGATTTTGTAACACTATTTTTGTTTCGTCATTCTATACTTTGAACATGTTTGAGAAATGTTTATAAACGGTTTAAATAATAAATATATTAAAAATAGTGATGAATAAGTAAATAGCACTTATGAATTCTTTGAAATATGTGAATAAAAAAAATTGATTTTAGTGTTTATAAACATGAGCCGAATATAGAATAAATGTCACCTGTCTAGAATGAGTAATACGATTTTTCAATATATGGACACAATTTCACAATGTGATATTTAAATTAAATTGAGATGAGATAAGTGTATTTCATCTAGAAGTTAAATTGCCAAGTTCAGTGTGACTAGAATCTAGACCATGTTATAAATGATGATAAAATTATGAAAAATGCATTTGTATTTCACTATTTACAGTTTGATGAGGTGACAAAAAGAAAATAAGAATTTTTTTTCCTTTTTGGTGGATGAGATTTTGACTCAATCAAACTCGCCGCATCATCTATTGGTATAAACTGTGATGTACATGTAGTAGGGGTGGACATGGTTTTGATTTTAAGAGAACCGAATTGAACCAAATCATAAATCAATGATTTTTTTAATAATAGAACCAAATGATTTTTCTTTTAAGATATGGAACCGAATTGGAACCTAACCATTCGGTTCTGGTTTGGTTTGGTTCTAATTTCATTATTAATTTAGAACAAAAGAGAAAGATCATTTGAGGACAAAGAACTGAAGGTTGAGGTTTCAATTTCAGAAATCCATGCGATGGTGTTTGTTAAGCGCGATGGTAGACGATAGGCAGTAGTTGTTGGTCTTCATGTGAGTGTCGGTATATAAATTAAAAAGGAGAGACTAGTAGACTAGTAGTTTAGACTCGAGTCATCTTTAGGCATGATGGAGGTCATCATTTTCATATTCTTGGTTGTCATGTGTATCCTTTAGTAATCAGCTTGCTATCTTTAATTATTCAAGTCAGGTTTCCATCTCCTTTGTGCTGAACATGATCAAGGACTTCGAAAGGCCGATCCACGACATACACGAAAATGCCCGTGCCTTTTTTCACTTGAACAATCCTTTTAGAATACTAGGCATGTAGTTGTACAAACTTACCTTTTTCTAGTTCATTGCTAGTCAAATATGCACTCAAGACATTTATATTTCTTTCGTATTTGATTTACGGTTTCTCTATTTCAAATTTACGATGAATAACTGTATATATTGAATATTGATTATTCTTCAATATATAATCTTTTAAGAATTTAGGTTTACCTCATTAACCATTATCACTAAATCAGAATGCGACTCTCATATATATATTTTTTGCACATCGAGTGCGTTTACTTATTCAACTATACTGGTTGTTATTATTTATCGAGGTTTGATTGTCCATCTTAAATTATAGATATTTTAAGAGGAGCAAAACTTTTATATATTGGAAAATCTTTTCATCATTATTTGATGCAGAATTTTTACCTTTAACATTGAGTAACCACCACCAGAAAAAGCTTAAGATCATTTTATGTATCACACTTATTGTATATATGGATGGACGCAAAGTATATGTGATCATTATCAAGACTAGACATACAAGCCTTGGACTATTTTCTCTTAGAAAAATAGGATTGTGTAATTCTTATTCATTCAATATGTATCTTTACAATGAAATTCTAGATAAACAACTAGTATAAATAACTTCTATAATTAATCTCCTACAATTAAGTACCTAGGATCTCCTAAAAGTTGAAAAGGAATAAAAAGGAAGTACAAGAATGTTTGATAGTCAAATAAGTATCTCAACACTCCCCTCAAGTTGGTGCACAAATGTCACACACGGCTAACTTGCCTAAATAATCGATTGGGAATAGCTTTGGTGAGGATGTCAGCCAACTGATCCTTTAGTCGAATATTGGAAAACCCCATAAATTTTTTTATCGATCATATTGAACCAGATTGTGGGCATAAAAACATTATGTTTTTTTGCTTCTCCATGTAACGAGGTTACCACTTACAAAGGAAAAGTAACCTTAAGTAGAACACTTAACGTCTATTGATCCAGCTCAGCATCAGTATATGCATCGACGCTTCGATAATCTATATTTTTAGTTAATAATTCCCTTTGCATGGGCAGATTTCAGGCACCTCAAGGTACAATGACTACGTTCATATGTTCCTCTCCCAACATAAGTATAAACTGGAGACAACACTCAATACACATGCAAAATCTGGCTGGTGTGCTAAATACATCAATTGCCCCCACAAGTTTATTGTATTTCCCTTTGTCATGTCATTAGTATATCATCTGGTAGACATGGAAACATACTAGTCTCCTGTAGTAAAATTAAGGCATACTTTATTTGAGACATAAATATTCCTTCTTCAAATCGAGATACTTTGATCCTGGAAAAAATAATTGAGGTCTTTCTTTTCGAACTCTCCAAGCAACTTTGTAACGTTACTGAAAAACTAAGGTATTGATAAATTTCACAGCACCTCTAATTTGTAATAAAAAATTTTAAAATTTCATAGAACCTCTAATTTGTAATAAATAATTTTTTTGAATATATAATGTATTAAGATTTGAAGATTTAATTTAAAATATCAACCTTATTAAGATGAGTAACTCAAGTCTTTATATATTGGTGTATATTTTGGTAATTAGTCGATGTGAAATTTATTCCTTAATATACGTTGATTCGTTTGAGTAGTTCAATCAATTTCTTTGGCTCTGATGTCAAATTAAGACTTGAGATCCCAAATTTAAAAGTCGTCCTTATTAAGAATAGTAGTCCCTTCTTGCATTGGTCTATATTTTGATAATTAGCCAATGTGGAATTTATCTCTTGACACAACATACATAAATGCATGTTTGTATGATCATAAGTTCTCACGACCATAACTGGTGCATGCCATTTTTAAATAACTATGCTTCAATATATTTCTACCATATTATTCTTTCTGCTTGTCCACACTATCTTAATAACTATAGTGTTAAGGAAACTAACAGACATCATACCAATCAGCATACCATATTGGAAGAGATATGATTACTCGATTACACGAAGAGACGTTGATTGCTTGATTAAAGTATATTTTTCTTCTTTCATTCCTTTTAATCTTTATTATTTCCCTTTAGTTTGATTCTTCCTTTGTACACAATATACATCCATCATTTTAAACTTCTATATAAGAAAATATATGCTTCTGGTCTTGGTACAATTAACTAACACCTTTCATACAATTTTTTCATGGTATCAAAGCACCTATAGCTTAAGCTAAAATAAGTTCCTGTCCTATTATTATCAATGGCTTCCGCTCCTATTGTTCCCTTGGTCTTCTCTCAACCGAACTTTTCTCAGTTGGTTTCGGTGAAGATGGACAGCGCCAATTATCTTAACTGAGTCTCGCAGTTGCAACCTGTTCTCGTAGCAATGATTTACTTGGATTTGTGGATGCTTTCGAACCCTATCCGGAGAAATTTCTTCCTAACTCTGAAGGAAAGCCTACCAAGGGTATTAATCATGAATATGTTCAGTGGATCAAGAAGGATTAGTTTGTCCTAGGATGGTTGAATGCCACTCTAATAGATAAAGTCCTTCATTCTGTTTTTGGTCTCACTACTGCCAAAAAAGTACAGGACTCTCTGGCCAAGCGATATGCGTCACACTCACCTGTCCATGTGCAATGCCTCAAGTGCCAATTACAGACATTGTAGCAAGGAAATAGGACATGCATTGAATATTTAGCTGTTGCCAAATCCTTTGTCGATCAGCTTGCAATTATTGGTAAGCCAGAAAGTGAGAATGATTTTCTCTCTTACGTGTTGAGTGGATTGAATTAAGTTTTTAATCCTTTTGTCATGGCCATTTCGTTTGACTTGCGATATGGTGCCATGAGTTTTGATGACTTCCAATCAGAATTGCTTTCCTATGAGATAATGATTGAAAACCAATCTCACTTATCCTCTATGGAGCAATCGGTATTTGCTATGATTGCTGGTAGAAATTCATGTGAGGGAGGACAGTGGCGTAACAAACCAAATTATTCTCCTAAAAGCTATATAAGACAAGGTTCATTCAAACCAAAATTTTCAAAGCCTCATTCGCAAGGAGGACCTTCAAAAGCGCAAGAAAGGCCATCCAATCTAATTCCCAATGAGAATGACAACTCTCATACTCGCAATCCATTGTGGAAAAACAAGTCATTAGGCCTTGGACTGCTACCATCACATGGATTACAGTTATCGCCATCCATGAACTCAACTTCCTGCAATGGTTACTCAGAGCAACCATATTTTTGAGTAGTCCAATGTATGGTATGCTTATTCGACGGCAAACTAGCATATTACTAATGAAGTTGCCAATTTATCTTTGCTGGAACCTCACTGGTGAAGATTCAGTAGCTGTAGGTAAAGGAAAACCTTTTCTCTTGCAAAATTAAACAATTTCAATCCGATAATGGTCGAGAATATACTTCAAATCAATTCATTTCATTCCTCAATTCTCATGGTATTCTCCATCGGCTTACTTGTCCATATACATCCCAACAAAACGGAGTTTTCGAAAGAAAACATCGCCATATTACAGAAATCAAGTTATCTTTATTAGCTCAATCCAATCTTTCAAAACAATTTTAGGTCGATGCCTTCTCCACTGCCATATTTCTCATCAATCAACTTCCAACTCCCGTTTTACATTCCAAATCTCCTTACAGTCTTCTCTTCAAAAGATCGCCTAATTATTCTCAATTAAAATGTTTCGGATGTGCTTGTTACCCTCTCCTTAGACCCTATAATACAAGCATGCCCGCCTTCCGCAGTAAACAGTGCATCTTCATAGGCTACTCATCCTATCATAAAGGTTATCGATGTCTTGATCCCATCTCAAAGAGAGTATACTTATCACGACATGTAGTGTTTGATGAGAAACTTTTTCCAACCAAGGATACGTCCATTGTCACTCATCCACTGAAAAATCTTTCACCCATTGCGTGTCCAAGATTTCCTCTAAGCAGCTCCTTTAAACACAATCACTCTTCCATATCTCCTACAATCAATTCTCATCACTCCCCACATAAACAACCATTTAACTCCAATAATTTTGGCTCTCACCATATCTTACATCCTTTGGACAATTCTTTTCACTTGGTGGAAGATCTTTATCTATTCAATCAGTCATCTTTCCCATCGAACCCATGGTCATGGATTCCTCTCATCCTTCCACATCATTGTCCTTACCTTCAACTGATTCAATTCCACCTCCTAATCATATTGTAACAAGATCACAAACTGATTCTTCATGGCCCAAGCAATTCCCTGATTTTGTTGCCCACTACTCGAACCGACATCCTATATTTGCCTTGACCACAATTTCTTTACCTAAAGAACCATTGAATTTCTCACAAGCAATAGTTTTTACAGAGTGGAAAAAGGCAATAGATGAGGATATGCTGGTTTACTTGCGAATAACACATGGACCCTTTGTCCTCGATCTACTAGTCATAATGTTATAGACACTAAGTGGGTTTACAAGACTAAACAAAAGGAGGATGGTTCTCTCGATCATCGCAAAGCCCGCTTAGTGGCTAAGGGATATAATCAAATTACGGGCACTGATTTTTCTTAGACCTTTAGTCCTATCATCAAACCTACCACTATTCGCATTGTTTTGACTTTTGCTGTACACTTCGGATGGGATATCAAGCAATTGGATGTGTCTAATGCCTTTCTTCACGGTACTCTTGATGAAAAAGTTAACATTTCTCAACCCCAAGGCTACATTGATCAACAACATCCGCATTATGTATGTCGTCTTAATAAAGCCCTTTATGGATTAAAGCAGGCTCTTAGAGCTTGGTTTAATCGATTCTCTCAATGTCTGTTGGAACTTAGATTTATGGGATCCATGATTGATAACTTTCTTTTTACTTATCACCAAACGGATGTTCACATTTTTATTTTAGTCTACATGGATGACATTGTTATTACAGGATCACATAATTCATTTATTGCCTCATTGATTCAGCTATTAAAATCTGAATTTGCCTTGAAGGATTTGGGGTCTCTCCATCATTTTCTTGAAATTTAGGTCACCCGTGACTCTCATAGCATGCATCTCCATCAATCCAAATACATATTGGACATTTTAGAATGTGTTCATATGGTTGGTGCCAAGCCATATTCGACACCATGTACCTCAAGTTCGAAGGTTGCTACGTCTAGTGGTGATCCTCTTCCTCATGCCACCGAATATCGTTGGATTGTTGGTGCTCTCCAATATTGCACTCTTACTCGTCCAGAAATTGCTTATTTTGTTAATCAACTTTGTCAACATCTTCACGCTTCTATTACTACACATTGGACGGCCGCCAAACGGGTCATTCGCTATCTTAAAGCTATGGTTGATCATGGTCTTACTTTCTCCAAGGAGATGACCGTTGCTCCACCATGGGCTTTGGTATTTTCTTAGGTCCTTGTTTAATTTCCTGGTGTGCTAAGAAGCAATCTGTCATTGCTCGATCAAGCACCGAGGCGGAATATCGGGCTTTAGAAATGACTGTTGCTGATCTCTATTGAATTAGGATGGTACTTAAAGATTTACAGGTTCATCTTACATGTGTTCCAACAATTTGGTGTGATAATTTGGGTGCTATTGCCCTTGCTTTCAATCCCATTTTTCATGCTCGCACAAAAAATGTAGAAGTGGATGTTCATTTTATTCGGGAGAAAGTTTTGAATAAGGATGTTGCTATTAAGTTTATCTCTACACATGACCAAATTGCTGATATTTTCACAAAGGGACTTACTGCTTCTCGGTGTCTCTATCTGAAGGCCAAGCTCACGGTTTATCTTCCCCCTATTCGCTTGCAAGGGGATGTTAAGGAAACTAATAGACAGCATACCAGTCAGCATACCATACATATTGGAAGAGATATGATTACTTGATTACAGGAAGAGACGTTGATTGCTTGATTAAAACATATTTTTCTTCTTTCATTCCTTTTAATCTTTATTCTTTCCCTTTAGTCCGATTCTTTCTTTGTACACAATATACATCCATCATTGTAAACTTCTATATAAGAAAATATATGCTTCTGGTCTTGGTACAATTAACTAACACCATTTCATACAATTCTTTCATATAGTTGAGTGTGTTTTTACCGGATTATTCTGTGGACTTGTACGAACTGCCTTAACAACTACTACAACGTGTTTAAAAATACGAATTACCAATTAATTATGACTCTAAACAAATGCAATTTCAATTTTATATATGGTTTTAATGTTCATATGTGATCAACTTTACAATTTCCCTTATATCTTTGGCAAAAACCAAACGTATCAACCATGTCTCGAATGATTCCAATTCAACCTTAAAGAAACCAAACCTCACCACCATGTCCAGATTAACGGCGAGGTAATGGCTAATGCATCCAAATATTGACTAAACCTAACAAAACAAAAGGGGGAAGATGATCGAATAAAACCTTCAAAACAAGATGACAAAAATGACCCTACACCAATGGAGACTTCTGGCTTATAGTTTCTGAGTTCTGACAGGTCAACCTAAAGCAATCAAAGATTGAGGAGGGGGGGGGGGGGTGCGTTAACCTTCTCAAACTAGTCCTACTATTATTGCATAAGGGTTGCCATTGAATTTGACACTTCTCCAAATCTTGTCTCTGTATAAATACCAGCAGATAGATTGCAATGTTTCACATCTCGGCCAAAAATTTTATGTTACTATATTCTTATTCCCGACGTATGAAAGTTTACCTTGACATGCCTTCGCAAGATGACGACTTGTTTGAGAATATCAATATTAAAATTTCATGCTAGTTTGAGCTTTATTATGCCAATCTATGTAGGATTTTACCCTTAGGATGAGGATTTAACCCTAAAAAATAAACATAATTCAGTTACTGCAATTCAGTTAGTGCAGTATATCTCATAAAGGCAATATTAAATTCTAAAACTCTAAGTAAACATGAGACAAACGATCGAAATTCAATTTCATTACATCATATGTTGCTTTCTGCATGAATAAAACTGAATATTTGTTGAACAGAATTTGCTATATCTTCAGCAGTAAACCTTACTTCGCCAGTAATCTGCAATGGAAAACAAAATATTAGCTAACTAAAAGCAAATATATCCTTACGGAAATTTTTGTAATAGATACAAACATATTTTTAAATCATAAATTAATATTTCAATTATTATGGAAATAGTTTTGTCAAACTTTACCTATGGTTTCTTTTAAACCGAAACCATACACCGTGTTGTATTTTTTATATTGAGAAGAAATAATGCGAGATACAAACTTTAAAGGGAGATGTATAATCGACCTCCAAGGAGAAATTATAAAATTAATGGGTATAGGGGATCGAGAGCTCAAGATAACAAACCCTAATGCCCTTGTCTCACTTCTTGTCTTCATAAGTTGACATTGAAAGAATTCCTACCTTGACATTGAAAGAATAGAGAACAGTTTGTTCAATTGTAGTAATGTTGGTGTGAAGAATATTAAGCTGCAAATCTTCAAGTGCAGCTACGGCCTTAATGAGCTGGCCAGGTCTTCTTCTTGATAAAATCTTGATCAATGCATCAAAACCTAAAACCTTCACTTCAACATCAGCTAAACATGACTTGCTTTCGGCTGTTTCTTCGCGTAGCCCAGTTTCATATTCGACAAGTTTTACTTGATCATTAAGTGGATTAGGCACCGGAGGAATTAGAAATGGTGGTTGAGGCTGCTGCTGCTGCTGCTGCACCACAATAGAAGGATCTACTATTGGCCTTTGGCCATCTCCGTAGAGTCGTCGCCTCTTTTGCGATTCGAGGCATTGGAGAAGTTGTTCTAATTCTCTCACAAATTCTATGGCTCCACCTATTATCGAAGCTTGATCTCCCTATAGTTGACACAAAACGAAATTATATTTAATCTCAATGAATCTATACTTGTTAATATGTGAAAAGAAATAAAATAAAATAAATTTATATTTGATTACCCTTTGGACATAAGAACCAGGCATGAGAGACCTAAGAACACGAAGATGTTCATTCATTTGCTTTCTCCGGTTTCTTTCGACTGCTATATGTGTCATCCTCTGGCTCTCAACTTCTTCATTTGTCTTTGTAGTTCTAGGCCTCTTTCTCTTGTTCTTACCTGATTCAGTAACTGGGCTTTTTTCGAGATTTTTGCCAAGAAACCTTAATTGAGCTGAGGTATTTTCAACCATATCTTCACCACCTTCTTCCACTGCTTTACCATTTCTTTCTTGATCTTCTCCAAGGGCTTGAGGTACAGCCAATAGGGACTGATCATCTTGTAATTTCTCGTTTAAAACCGGAAACTTGAGGAAGTAAACCGGATCAATCCCACCTGTAGTTTCTTGATCAGCAGAAGTTCTAGCTTGATTTAAGGCCAACTTGGGGCCAAAATCTGCCAGTTGCATCACATCTGCAAAACTCAACTTATCCAACGAAGTCGAGCCGCAATAGTTAGAGGATTGAAGTGAAGGATTATTAAACATATAATCAACCATTTGACAGCTACTATCAGCAGAAGTTTCTCCAATTTGAGGCGTCATCATCTGCTGCTGCTGATGATTTTCAATAGAATAGTCAGAATTTCCTGTAGCCTGAAGCAAGAAATTTGGAAATTCATAGCAAAACAACAAGGCCCTGAAATGATGTGTCTATGTAAACACACAAACAATAGGAAAGGGTAAGATTTGGAGCTATATATGTATTACCAAATAATTTCCTTCTTTCTCCATCATATATAAAACCACTGAATTTTACCCAAAACCCTAATTGAGCTCAATTCATGCACAGTTAAATTTTCAGAATTTGTACTGCTGGGTTCCACCTCCTGAAACATTATCAAACGATAAAAATAAAATTGTTATAAAACATCACTAAAAACATACATTTCACTCGAATAGCTTGGTTAAAGGAAAAAAATAGACGCGCACCTATGAACGTGAAAAATACACAACTTGTCTTCGATCAAACAAGTTAATAATACGAACTAATCCACCACATGACAAATCTTGGGAGAGAAAAGTTGAAAATAAGGTGAAAAGTGGGGTTTTGGTTATAAGCAAAATATAGCTATATAATTGTAAAATTTGAAGAATATATATTGTCTGAATATATGATGAAATAGACCAAGATTACTTGTTGGAGCTTGCTATGACTTTGTACGTATATACTTGCATGATACTTGTGCAGGTAGAGGAGCCTTTGGATTAATTTCCACCTCAAAAGAAATAATTTCACTTTTTACCACCTTTTCATTAATGGGATTCACAGGTTTTCTTTAATATGAATGTAAGTCACAGGTTAGCACCTCCTTTTTCATGACTATCAATAAATCAAAACGCTCAAGGGAACCTTTTTTGAACTTTGAATCTTGGATTGGAGATAAGTATGTAATTCTAGATTTTGCTTCCACATATTCAAGAATTGTGTTAAATAGATTATTATTATTATTATTTTATTTTTTTTAAATTCTAGATTTTGCTTCCACATATTCAAGAGTTGTGTTAGGTGGATTTTTTTTTTTTTTTTAGAAACAATTAATGAAATTACTGATTTTTCCATTTAAATTGGATCTGCGAATTGTGTTGAGCCAATCTAATTTGATTTGGACTCGAAGTTCATACACATATCTCATGTCCTTTTTAGTTAATTATGGCCCCTTTTATTCTGAGTCCAACCCTCAAAACAATTCAATAAAAAGTTACTAAGAGGGAAAATTACATAATTCCACGTGTCTAAAGCTCACATTTCAAAAATCAGGATTGAAGTTTCACTATTCATAAATCAGGTATCAATATAATAATTAAATATTAAATATTTCCTCAAATTATTCCAAACCCTAATCAATTTTTTTGTTACCATTTCTCTCTCTACCCTTTCTTCTCTCTGTCTCTCCCGTCTCTCCATCACAATCGTCGTCGAAAAATTCCTCGTCGATAGCGTTCACGACGTCACACTGTAGCAGCGACGCTCTAAAGATTGGCGCAATTTTCGATGCGAGATTGGCGCCACTACAACAACGCGATGGAGATGTTGATCCAACGCACGTCCCCAATCTAGTCTATAACGCAGTATTTCTCAGATGGATCAGCAGGCGGTCTTTGGCCATTGTCCGGAGCCTTCTGACAGAAGCACTTAGACTCGACAGAATGAATACTTCAGCATGGTATACTTAGACTCGACGAAACCTGTGCAACCTTTCAGATGATGAGCTTTTTTGTAAAATTCTCGTGCTTTTGATAAATTCTCAATGTGTTATATCCACATGGTTGGTGGTGGCTATTGACTATGGTTTGTGGTGGAAATTGACTATGGTTGTGACCAATTATTTGGGTGCGGTGGTGTTAGATCAGTGGTGGATCTGGTGGTGGGGTGGCTTTTGTTGGTAGAGGTAGTGGTGGTGGTGAATCTGACATGGATGTGTTGATAGGTGGTGGTTTTGTAGTTGAAAATGGTGGTTTGTTGGTGGTTGTGGTGGTGAAGTGGCAGTGGATCTGGTGGTGTTTTTTTTTTTGCAATGTGTTAGATTTGTTGTAGGTGATGGTGGTTTTGGCAACAACGATGACAGTGGTGCTGTTCGGGGCTTGTGAGGCGGTGGTCACAAGCGTTAATGGCGGTCACAAATTATTTAGTTGACTGTGACCATTGAATTGTGTATTGTTGGTGTGTTTGGTGGTGACGGTCATGGTGGTTTCTGGTGGCGACGATTTTGTTGGTGGTGAAGTGGTGTTGTGGTTGTGGCGGTGGTGACGGGTGAGGGTTATTGCAAGTGGCAGTGGAGTTGGTGGTGGTATGTGATTGACTATTTGACCTGTGACCAATTGTTGGTGTTGGTCGTGGTGGTGGATGCGATAGTGGTGTTAGGATTGGATGTTGGATGTCTGTGACCAACTATTTGGTCCTGACAGTAAACTGTGACATTAAAATTTGATCACTTGTTATTAAAACGTAGTCCGTGAGCATCAAATTTGAAAATGTGTGACTTGTGACGTATAGTTTTTTGAATTTGTGACCAATCATATGAGCAGTGACCTACAAAATTTTTGATCTGTGACTAATGAAATAATTTGTGACCTATAAATTTTTTTATTTGTGACTTTGAAATAATCTGTGACCTATAAAATTTTTAATTTGTGAACTCGAAATAATCTATAACCAATTAATTAGACGATATTTGACCAATAAGTAAATCTGTGACCAATAATTATGAATCTGTGACTATTAATCGTGTGACCGTGACTTTATTATATTTAATTAATAAATATTTTCAATTAATTATATAGAAACTTGAATTTTGAATTTTTAAACTTTGTACCTGATTTGTGAATTGATGTAAACAATACACTTTACATATGAATTTTTCCCTTACCATAATGTGTTTGGTGATGCTGTATTAAAAAGAAAGTATAAGATAAAAATAAAGTAAATCTTACATTATTATTAAAAGGGTAATTGGTACAAAACATCCCTATCTTTCAAGCTTATTGTGAAAAACGTCTCTATCTTTCATTTTTTTGGGCATTTTTGCCCTCATTTTAACATTTCGTTGCGCTGAAGGTCATTTTCACTATTTTGGAACGTAAAATGACAATTATACCCTCTTATTTAGAACAAAAAAAAAGGAGAAAAATTCAAAACAAATTGTAACCCTACCCTAAACTTTTAAAAAAGTGCAAATGAGTCCTCAATACTTAAAATATTGAAAATAACAAAAAAAACACTTTCTCTTCTCTTCCTCCCCCCTCCACTGCCACCTTTTCAAGCCAAAAAATTCTGACCAACCACCGTCCAAAGCCAAAAAAACACTTTCTCTTCTCTTTCTTTTATTTTTTTTGTTTTAAATAAGAGGTTATAATTGTCATTTTACGTTCCAAAACAGTGAAAAGGACTTTTAGCGCAACGAAATGTTGAAATAAGAACAAAATGTTAAAAAATGAAAGATATGAACGTTTTCCACAATAAGCTTAAAAGGTAGGGTCGTTTTGTGCCAATTACCCTTATTACCTTTCATTGATAAAAAAAAATATTCATTTTAGAATTTACTTATTTGCTTTTTATCTACTTTCGTATTTAGATAACTTAGCTTTTTCTTAAAATTAGGTAAAAGACTAATTTTTATATTTAGCTAAATACCCTTTTCAACTCCCCCTATAAAACGCTTAAAATATAAATGCTTTTATCAAAGCATAAAACATGAAATAAATGTAAAGTAAATTGGTTATTGTAACACATTTCCTCTCATTTTGGTAATACTAATTTTTTTTTGAGTGTTTAGATTTTAACATTCTTGATTATATTTCTAGTTTTTGAGCCCTGAACATTCCAACAATCAAAGAAAATTATTTGTAATATGAATAAGTATCACCTCAAAGATATGTCTACCTGTCTTAAAGTCATTTATTTTAGAAAATTTTTCATAAAGTAATTATTCAAATCAAAAGTTTTATATGCATTTAGGTCCTCAATCTTTTATCATTTTAGTACTCACGTCCCTAACTTTTTATTAATTTATTTTTATCCATAACCTTTCATTAATTAGTACATCAAATTTAAAGTTGAAATCAACAGCGAAGTTTTTTTATGATAACTTGACAAATTATAGAATTTCTGCGGTTAAGTAAAGTAATAAAACTCAAATATTACGTTAAGAGTATTTAGTTTATAATTAAGAACAGGTTTTCAAATATTAATATTAAAAAATTTTAATAGATATAATTCATGGATGAAATTTTAAAATATAGTAAATACTAAATACAAAAATGAAATAAAAACTACAACAAATTAATAAAACAAATTAAACAAATAATAATTTTGTCCATTATACCTGTATATTCTACTTCAATGATCAATGAACAAATAACCATCAGTGATTAGATAATCGTTGACGGAAGTATGTCGATAACTGTTCCATTTCTTTTTCTTATCATTATTATTATTCATCAGAAAACAGTTTTAGAAATTTTGCTTAAGACTCTTAAGTTGTGATGAACAAAAAAAGTTGATACAATAATTGCTATAATAGAAATCCAAAAGAAATGCATATAGAAAAGCAATGGCAAAGCACTTACTTATGAACAGTGCGGCAGGAGAACAAGTGCACCGAACACTTGTAGACAATGGAAATTCAATCAATATACTACACACTCGAACCTTAAGGCAGATGGAGATCTCAGAATGATATTTCCAGCCGTATCCCAGGAAATTACAAGGGTTTTCTAGGGACCCTATCCAAGCCCGAGGACAATTTGCTCTGCTTGTGGAACTCTACGAGGCCCCTCGCCAAAGAAGAATCCTCGCTAACTTCGTACTAGTCGATTTGCCTTCCAATTATAACGCCATACTCAGAAGACCCATGCTGCACGAGGTCAAAGTAGTTACGTCAATCTATCACTACAACATGAAGTTTCCCACCCCCTATGGGGTCAGAATCATACGCGAAAATCAATCAGAAGCCAGAGCGTGCAACATTGATCTACCCAAACTTCAAATCCACATGCTAGGAAGTGAGCAGAATGTGCGGGCCAAAGAAGCAAGACTGAAGAGACCCATCGTAGCCGACCTAGAAAAGATCGGCATATCAGAGAAATATTGCCAAAAGCCCACGGATGATCATGTATCCTTCGATGACAAGGAAGCGGATCCGAATCCTTATCCCGAGGTCCTATGATCTCACTATCTATAGCTGGAGTCATCATATTGGTCGACACCGGAAGCGCCCTCGATATACTCTATGCCAGCACGCTCGAATGGATGGGTAATCTTAGTCACTTCCTGCAAACCTATTCAAACATGGTTCTCAAAATAAAGGTGCCTTGACTAGGCAAAAGAATCGATCAAATTAACAGTTGAAGCTGGTGAAACACCACGACGGACTAAGTTGAATATCGAGTTCGTGGTGTTTGATTCAACTTCACCTTACGATGCCATCATGGGGTAACTTCTAATGTTCAGCCTTAGAGCCTCTATGTCACTATATCATTACTCACTAAAATTCCCCATGCCTTAGGCATAGGTGAAATCAAGGGAAATAATGATCTTGTCAAAAAATACCAAATAAAAATTCATCCCATTAGTCGAAATACGTGCACTCTCCGAGGTGTATATATGGTATACCCCT